ATCCATATTATTATTTCAAGAAAGAGAATATTTTAATGCTGTAATATAGACAATATCTTATAAATCATTTGAGTAAAAATATAATAAATTACGCAAAGTAAAATTATAATTTTTGAAATATTACATTGCCAAGATAGAATGTTAATAGCAATAATCTCTGAACCCAAATATAAATTTGGAGTTATTATATGGACATAACCTATGATTTTCAACACAATACAATAGATATGATAGTGTTTATTAAATATATCCATCTTTCTAGTCAGATATTGATTCTTATATAGAACTTGAAGAATCATTCAACTATACCTCAGCTTAATATATTATTTGTATAAATATTCTTCTCTCTTATTTTTTCATATGTATATATATTTATGTTATTTTTTTACAATAATAATAGTATAATGTGTAGCTATTGCAGTAAATTACAATCGATTTTATGCATACATTCTGCAAAGAGATTTTCCATAATAGATATTGATTTCGAGAAAATTATAGTTTTCAAATTTCTTGTTTGTATTATTAATCTTTATTATTGTTTTTTATATTCCTTCATTCTTTTCTTTATTTTTTCCTCTTCTGTTCCAAATGTTGAGAGAATGAAAATTTGTTACAATAAATAGTATCTTCCAGTTACTTAACAAGAAAAAGTTACTTCTTTCTTACTTGTATCGTTACTTTATTCAGTTATGAATATTTTATATCGTTATTTCATTCAGTGGAAGTAACAAGAAGAAATTGAAAATATGAATAAAAAAGTGTTCTGTTTCGAATGATAAGAGAAATGTAATGTAAGACAAATATTTGCGTAATATCTAATTTATTTAAACTAATTATTGATTATAGTAATTTTTATATGTTATATATTCTACTTATGTTTTAAAAATATTTATTGTTGGTAAAACACAATTATTAATACTTGAACGAGTAATTTTTTTTATATTTAATTTGATTTTGAATGAAATTGTAATTCCTATTGTAATTTATTTAATGTAACATGAAATATTTTAATAAAATCCAATATAATTTTATTAGGAATAAAATCATAAAAAACATATATAATCTATTATTAGAAACTTTATTATTAGAACTGAGGATGATCACAAAATAAATATCCTAAATTTAATTGAGAACATTAGCGATAATTATATAATTTTATAATTATGGATATAAATTTATAACAAGAAACAAATAAATTTGTATTTGATTGGATAATTTGAAAAAAAGTTTATAAAGTTTTTAAAATATCTTAATAAGCTCAAATATACAATACAAATTAATTGCATTCATTGAAAAAAATACAAATATTTATCGTTTTTTAGAATTTTTAATTACTTGTTTAATATTAAAAGGCGCAAAAAGCCAAAAGAAATTTTTAACATTATTTTTTTAATATAATAAACTTTTTTAATTTAATAAACTTTAAATATAAACTATCAAATATATATAAAATAGAAATATTAAAAAAAAAATTTTTTAAAGAATTCATTTTTAATTATTAAATATCTGAAAAAAATTTTTTCTGAATTTTTTGAAGAAAACTTTTTGATATTCTGTAAAAAACTCTTCAATATATTATATGAAAATGAATTAGAAACAGAAAAAAATTTTGATTTTTATATTCTTAGAATTTAGAATTGATAATCTCGGAAACATCTATTGTGAAACAATACCATTACTGTTAAAATATAGAGAATTTTAATATAATACAATATTTTGATATTTAAATAATATATTTTAGCAATATATGTATTATGTATTATATACGTATATTATATACGTATTATGTATATATATGTATATATGTATATATATATTATATTATTATTTAATAAGTATTATTTAATAAAAATTATTAATTATATATCGAATTATAGCAAATTCCAAAATAATAACATTATAGAATACTGTTTTCAAATATTCATACATAAATTATTGTACAAACATTTTATTTAAAACCATAGATAAATTATTCTATGACGTTCAATTTGCCGAAATCTATAAGAACAAATAAAAATTCCCATTTCAAATTAGTAAAGATGAATGTATTTTTCTTTATTATAAGTAATAATTTGATTATTAAAATAATTTCATTCGAAGAATAAAAATGTAATGCTTATACGAATTAATGGACACAAAATGTGGTATTAATCCGATCAAATATCAATATTAAATTTTGACTATTATTTCTATTAAAATAAACTAAATGGCTTTGAATATTGTACAAATGGGATATCTGAACTGATATTTTTATGATCTCGAAGAACCATTTATTGTGATAGGACTGTATGATGGTTTATATTGAATGAACGAATGGTGATTTAATTGCTTTTTAATTGCTCACGGCTAATTGACTACTGATTATAATAATTCTAATTATGTAGTTCGATGTGTATCGTTCTATCTGATTTAAATTCTATTTTTTTTTTTTAATTGATCTGATTTAGAAGGTTGCCACGGATCTGGATTTGTCTTCAATCATTATTTTTCATGAAAACGCAGACTAAGAGGGGAGAAAGGGTTAGAATAACCAATAGTCGCGATTGGAGGACGGTTTCGAAGGATAGGCCTTCATGAAGTGGTGACGTGAGAATCAAGACCATCGCTATCACTTCCATGATAGTCTGTCGCAAAGCACCAAGTGCGCAATCGTAACTTGAGAAATGGCCATTGCTCTTATATCTCTGTTTAGATTGGAAACCTAAAAACTACCTACTTACAAATTATTGTTAGATTATTGAAAATAAGTAAGAAATAAATAAGATGAAAAAGTAATCCTAAATAGATTAAAACTTAATTTACATAATAAAATTATTTCTTTTTAAAAAATCATAAATCTATTCCTAATTATAGTTATATTATGATATTTAGATACTTACAAAAATTAAAAATTAAAATTTATTTATAATTTTCCAAAATTAAAAAAAATAATTTATTATTTATTAATTAATAATTTATTAATTTATTATTGCTTCTTTAAGATTTATAACCAGTTTATTCGAAGGAGTTTCTTGCATGGAAATCTTTTTTCATTATTATCGATCCCCTATTATCGACCTTTATTAAACTTAAACAAAGGATAATGTTATTTGAGAAGACTGCCGTTTTTGAAGAGAGTTAAGTCGATAATTATATGTTTTTCACATACCTGGCTGAAACGGAAATCGATCGCAAGAATTATATATTCAAAATATGACTGATTCAATGACAATCAGCATTATTCAAGTTAAAAAAAATCTATAATAAATATATTCTGTTTAATTCTTGGTTATTATTATTTTGATATCTTTATGCAATACTAATTCAATTCAATCGCGATATTATTGAGTATTATCATGACCCTTTCCAAATGAACTTGGAAGGAATTTCTGAAGGTCTTCATTAAAAGTCTAATATTCTTGTTACAAATATCCTAACCGCTGGATCATCTACTGTGACACACTATAAATAATTTAGCTCTCACATAGTTATGATATTTTTATTTATAAATAAGCACTAGCTTACATACATTTCAAAAAAGCACTCGACACATCTATATATACACTTAACGAATTTCCATCCCGTATTATCATTAGTACGGGCGTGAACAATAATATTCAATATAAAATCATATGATAAGTAATGTGAAAAAAAAATACATTGCTTATAGGTTTTTTAGTGGATTTAAAATTATGTATTATAATGATATGATTAAAATATAGATATTGAATTTCGAATATTGTTTTTTCTGTTTCTTATATAGTAATCTTATATCGGAACAAAAAATATTGAATTCGAATCAGATAGAAAGAAGATTTTTCAATTGATGCCATCTGTATAATTCAAATTAATTCAAGTATCATTCGTGACTTTTTTGTACATTTGAGAATAAGCAATTTTGGATGTAGAAATACACATTCAACCTTCCTAATCTGAAATCATATAAAAGTGTATTTTAATTTAATTTGCACGTTTTTATGCATTTCGATATGGATAATTAGGCAGATTAAGTATCATACTACATTCAGCTATGGATTTAAACATTTGTACAATGATTTACTTATGGATTTAAATAAAAGAGTATTTAGTATCAATATTTCTGGAATTCTGGAATTTATTAAAGCTTATTCAAGGTAAGTTCTTATTAAACAAAAAGTTATATAATACAAAGATTGTATTTTATTAAGATTCAGAAATAGTTTTTCGCGTATAAAATATCAATGAATTCACATTGAGGGACACCGTTACACAAACTATATTGCAATACACTTCTGCCATGAATCAAAACTAAACCAGTTGTCCCTCTTTTGTCGACGCATTCTATCTAATACAAACTTAAAATGCTTTTAATTCATTATTTGAATCTTGTTAGACATATATATATTTGATATCTAGAATTTTGTTTTGATATCTAGCATCCATTTTTCAAAGGTATCCCACATTTTTATAAGAATTAAGAAACTAATATATAATTTCTTCAAAAACCAAAATAATTTAATGTTGTAAGTACGCAAAAGGATGATGTAGTATAAATCATGAAACTAATTTGGAAAAAATTATGGTATAAATAATGTACAGAATTTTTGCTTTTTTTGAGAAAAAAGCAACTAAATTTATGATATAAGAAATAAATAACAAAAAATTGAAGCGTAATGATGAAAATATAATAAAAATGTTTTCTTTTTATTTATTTTACATTCATTATACGAGAAATTTCGAACACTCACAGTTCGCATTCATCTGTAAACATTTGTAAGAAAAGTTTTGATCAAAATGAAATTTTCTCTCACAATTAAAAAATAATTATGCGATATAGTAATTATTTTAGATTAATCATAATGGTATTGCAATGATAATAACATTAAAATATTAGGAATTCAAGAAACTGTATAAAGAATATTTAATTGAGAAATTATTAACAAGAAGAACAAACAAAATAAAAAACAGATATCAAAATGAAGTATAGAGTAATAATAATTTTTTATTTCAATACTAATATATTTAACATGATACTATCGATTCTATTGTATCGAGTACATCAAAGTAAAATATGAAAACGAGGTACTTAACATCTGAAATGAAACAATATTTATTAGTTTTGAATTAAAATTATGATGATATTCGTAATTAAATCAATCACCGTTGTAAATCCTGCGTGGCATGGAACGAACACACCAAAAATATGAAATATAGATGCCGTTGAGCTTCGTATCATAATAAGTAATAAAATCTTTTGTACTTTTAACGGTACGGAATACCATACAGATATATATCTGTAATGAATGATATTTTTTTTTACTGTTATTGTTTTAATAAAATTAATTTCATGAATAAAAATTCAAACTTACAATTCATGAAAAAATTCTTCACTGTTGTTCATAAATATCTGAGCAATATGGTTGCATAAAAACATAATCACCAAATGATTGGCAAAAATTATAAGAGAGAGGAAAATTTCTAATTGATCCTTCTTAATTGTAATCGCATTTACTAGCTGCGAAATATTAAAAAAAATAAGTATATTCAATACGATATATCAATTTTTAAATTGATTACATTTTTTGATATATTTATTTCTTACATTTATCTAATATATACAAATTTAAAGCGTCTTATTTCCTACGTTTCATGAATTCAAAAATATTAAAAAAAATTTTATGCAAGATTATTCCAAAATCTTTGCATATATAGAATGTCTCAATTTAATTTCTATTCGCACTATTGTTTTTTAAATTACGCATTATTAAAAATAAAAAATAACGCATATAAAACTTGTATTTCAAGACATTGTCTAATGATTAAGTATCAAATATATTTAAATTGTTTTTTTTAAAATTTGATAATAATCTTTGTTTTTTTTAAATGAAACTATGCGTATATTTTACCAGAATTGCAATCTCCAATACTCCAATACGAATTCATTATCCCAATTATGTTGATCTATGAAAGTTATTCAAAATCATTTATAATTGTTAAAACTTTGCTTTATTGATAGTTGGAAGATGTTCCTCATTGAAGTAAGTCATTAATATGAGAAATAATGACAAATGATTTATTGATGTATTATTATTTTTATTAAAGTTATTCCATAACATTTTAAATTTTTCTTTAGAGTTATACATAAATGAAAAAAATTTTAGAGAAGTGTCAACCATTGAATGAAAAATCGCTTAAGAGATGTTTCCCAAATTAAATAATAATATATATCTTTATTTTAAAAAAATGTATATCAAAGAAATAGACAAAATCTTCACTTTGACAAATGAAAAAACTATCAAATAATATATCTTTTCAAATACAAGTTTTATACAAAATATTATTTTGAATAAAACAAAATATATAATTCAAGACATTAATTGTGTGAACAAATTAAAATAAAACATCCAATAACTAAGAATTCAGACATATGTGAGTTCGTTTATAATTATCATGTAATAATAATCATATAATAAAGAAAAGATACTTACTCGATGCAGACTTATAGCCATTGAAATCACAAGTAGAAGAGCAGATATCATAAACTGTTTTTCTGAATTATTTATCATGATATTGATAAGTCTTCCATTGTTAAATGAAATTTGTAAATAAAATATTATATAATATGAGTATCTGCGAGATCAACTTATAATATTATCATATTTTAATTTACCAACTGGATAGCTTGATTATGAATATCCACCACACGATAAAGCTCTGCGAGTTTCGAATCAATTTGCTTCGATGAGAGATTAAACATAGTTAAATACGCAATAATGTTTTGTATTCTATGGCTAAAAACGTAAGATTTGTAGATAGACACATTGTTTAAGAACGAATTTTATAATTTATTGTTTAAAATTATTTTGTATATATTTATATAATTGATCAAAAATTTAGTACAATCTTTAAAACACGATTTCTTAAAAATTGTACTTTATGATTCCATTTCTACTTTTTTTCGAAAATTTAGATAAATTAATTTACATATAATATATAAAAATTTCTTTTTTATAGAAACTGCAATTTATTAGAATCGCAAAGAACATAACGAAATTAAAAATGTAATGTTTTTATTATATGTTGTAATATTTTTATTATATATTTAATGTTAAAAAAATTTTAAAATTTAAAAAATTTTAAAATTTAAAAAATATATTATATAGATTTATCATTTGTGATATTTATATATTTAAAATTTCGAAATTTCAAAAATCGATCCTTAAGATTTTAATAGTGACAAGGCTTAAATTATAAATCTGAAGAATTTCAAACAATTTTTTCTTTCTGAAAATTTTCATTTTGGTAATGAATTATTACTGAAAAATTACAGAATGTCATTTTATTAATATCTAACGAATAATAAAATCGAATCGAAAATTTATGCCAAAACAAAAATTGTTCGAAGAAATTTAAATTAAGACTTATCGAATCAATTTTTAGAATATATTTGTTTGAATAATAATATTTAAAATATATTACATAATGCATATAAATATATCAATATTAATATATATAAGGAGAATGGAAAATATAATATTTCAAATATTAGTACTAAATTTAAAAAAATTATGCGATCTTGAAATCAATTATAATCATATGAATGTTAAATTCATATTTTAAAAAATATTATAAATACTGTTGTTGTTGATATTAGTTACATAATAAGTATTATAGGAGAGGGATATGATAATTTACTTACCTAATAATTTTAAACAACAAGCCTGTATGGTAAATATAAAGTCCAATTATCGATTCCGTACATATTATAGATAATAATCCAAATATGACAACAAATAAAAAATCCAAGCATAAAATATAAAAATATATGGTTCGATTGACAGAAAATAATGTAATATAACGAAATATACGTATATGGGATTCGTTTAAAGGCATTATGAAATCCAATATTATAAGATACAATAACAACATACTGTACAACGTAATATTTGCACAAATCATTCCTAAAATTTAGAAAAACCATTTCATAATATTTCATAATATGTTTAAATTGAAATATTCATATAATAATATTATTAAAAAATCATCCTTGTAAAAATGAAAGAATATTTGATATTTTTGTTAAAAAATAAAGATTACACATATTATAATTATATATATAAAAAAAGGATATATATAATAAAAACTAGTATATATAATAATAATAGATATACAAATATCTTGTAATATTTAAATTTTTGTGATCACAATGGTAATATTGTAAATTGATATTGTCAATGAAATTTATACATTTCTTACGTAAAAGTATTTCGATCATGTGACGAAAATCATCGATGTATTTTATTCGTATCTCTTTTTCTTTTGAATCTTGTATTATATTTTCTTCCATACGCATATGATGAAATAAAAGTTTTATCTATGTCAAAAAAAAAAAAAAAAATAACATGTAAAAATATTATTCCATGAAATATCTAGAATAATTTTAATTTTTACTCACCATAGGAAAAAATATTATAAAGCTTATATATCGTAACGAAATTATTATAAGTGGACAAGCCGTAGACAATATTAAAATACAGTTTCGTACCGTAATTTTAGATCTTAAAAGTAACACAATCTAAAAATTTGTAAATTAGAATACATTTAAAATATTAGATTCTATGATGATTATATATTTATAGTATTTCAATCGCGTTTTTAAATACATTATTATTATTATCATTTAATCGATGTTCTAAAATATATGTAATATGCAGTTTATTATAAAATAAAAATATAGTCAAAAATAGAAGCAAGATGTAGATGTAAAGATAAAAATGTAGATATTGGTTTTAATATGTTTTTTTATATATGTATACAAAATCTAGTTGAATAGCATATATAAGAGAATAAAAAATAAAAATTATAATAAAATTTTTTCGTTTCGTTTTTTGAAAAGTAATTGCTTAACCTTCAATTAGATACAAAAAAAATTATAAAAGAAGAATCTTCTATATATGAAAATAAAAAAATGTAGAATTAAATTTTAAGTCCTTTTTTTAAATGATAAGTATATATATGTATGTTGATAAAGAATAATTCTATGATCGATGATTTCTAGAATTCATTTTTTTTTTTTTGGAAATTAATTTTTAAATGAAATAAAATTATGTCGAATATATATTAACTGTATACTGTAAAATGTAATAACTTTTAAATATTATGCAAATATGTTTTTATACATTTCTATTATCTTATTATGTGTATATATGTTTATATTACAAACTTAAAATCATAATACATTGCATCAATACATTATTATTTCATACAAGAAATGCATATTATTATTTCAAGAAAGAGAATATTTTAATGTTTAATATATAGATAATATCTTATAAATCATTTGAGTAAAATGATAATATAACATATATATATAATATAATAAATTACGTAAAATAAAATTATAATTTTCGTCACCTGAAATATTGCATTGCCAAGATAGAATGTCAATAACAATAATCTCTGAATCCAAACATAAATTGAGTTATTATATGGCCATAATCCTACAATTTTCAATACAGTACGATAGCTATGATAATGTTTATCGAACACGTCCATTTTCCTAGGTAGATATCGACTGTCATGTAGAATTCGAATAATCATTTGACTATACCTCGGCTTAATATATTATTTATACAAATATTCTTCTCTCTTGTTTTTTCATGGTTATTTTTTTATAATAATAATAATATAATGTGCAATTGTAGTAAATTACAATCAATCGATTTTATGCATACATTCTGCAAAGAGATTTTCCATAACAGATATTGATTTCCAGAAAATTATAGTTTTCAAATTTCTTGTTTATATTATTAATCTTTAATGTCGTTTTTTATTCCTTCATTCTTTTCTTTATTTTTTTCTCTTCTATTCTAAGTATTGAGAGAATGAAAATTTATTACGATGAATAGTATGTTTCAGTTACTCTACAAGAGAACTTCTTCCTTATATGTATTGTTACTTCATTCAATTATAAATGTTTTATATTGTTATTTCATTCAATGGCAGTAACAAGGAAAAATTGGAAGATATGAATAAAAAAGGATGTGTTCTCTTCGAATGGTAATATGCAAGAGAAATATTTGCGTAATTAAATTAGACTATTTATTTTTATTTATAATAATTTTTATATATTGTATATATATTATAGTTATGTTTTAAAAATAATTATTATTTCAAATAATTATTGTTCGTAAAAATTATTAATACTTGAAATTAATTTTATATTTAATTTGATTTTGAATGAACTTGAATACATTATTGTAATTTATATAATGTGACATGAAATATTTTAATAGAATCTAATATAATTTTATTGGAATATATGATAGAAAACATACATATATAATCTTTATTATTAGAACTGAAAACTGACTGCAAAATAAATATTCTAAATTTAATTGAGAATATGAATCATAAGCAACAATTATATAATTTTATAATTATGAACATAAATTTATAATAAGAAACAAATAAATTTGTAGGATAATTTGAAAAAAATTTATAAAATTTTTAAAAACTTTATAAGTTCAAATAAATAATACAAAGTAATTACATCAAGTTAAAAGAAATAGTATTTATCGTTTTTTAACATTTTTAATTATTTATTTAATATTTCAAGGAAGAGGTTGGCGCAAAAGGCGCAAAAAACCAAAATAAATTTTTGACATTATTTTTGTAATATAAACTATCAAACATATATAAAATAGAAATATAAGAAAAAAAAATATTTTAAAAATTCATTTCTAATCGCTAAATAGTTGAAAAAAATTTTTTAATTTTCTGAATTTTTTGAAAAAAAACTTTTTAAAATTCTTTAAAAACTCTTCAATATATTACATAAAAAAGAATCATGCAGAGAAAAATATTGGTTTTTGAATTCTTAGAATTTGAATTGATAATCTCGGAATTTGAATTGATAATCATCTATTGTGAAACAACATATTATCATTGTAACTTTTTATAACTTTTAAATCCATAAAAACCGATATTATTTTTTAATTAATCCATTATTTATTTTCAACAGCTGGATCTTCAATAAGTTAACGATAATTTATGAGCGGATATGGTTTCCTAACGCTTTCCGGATCCTCAATTTAAACAGAGATATCACAACGGCTGATTTTACAAATCACATGCCTTGTGAGTACGAGCGTAAAGATAATCTTCTACGCGTTGCAAAAGTGTCTATCCTTCGAAACCGCCCTCCAACATGACGATTGGTCTCTTTAATTCTCTCTCGGTGTGCATTTTCGAAAATATAATAATATAATAATTGAAGGAAAAATCAAAACTGGCAATAAATTAGATTAGTTAGAATAGAAATAGAATACAAATCAAATAGAATTCAGCGACGATACGTAGTTTGCATCAAAATACAATTATAATCATTATAGTTAACCGCAAACAATTAAAGTACACTATTCGTTCACTCAATATTTTATTATTTTCTTCTTTCAAAACTCATAATATAAACGATTGGACAATCCTATGACAATAGATAGTCCTTTGAGCAGTAACATCAGTTTAAACACCACATTTATACAATATCCAAAATTGTTTAACTTTCGATTTTAACAATTTGAATAAACGAATGGTGGTTTACTTTTGTATCGAATTGTATCATTGTTGAATTCTATTTGATCTGTGTTCTATTTTAGTTCTAATCTATTTGATATGATCTAGGAGACTGTCGCGGGTCTTGGTTTTTCCTCCAATCATTATTTTCCGTGAAAATGCGAACTAAGAGGGGATTAAACGAACTAATAATCGCGTTGGAGAGTGGTTTCGAAGGATGGGCCTTCGTGAAGTGGTGACGTAGTGCGTGAGAAATAAGACCATTGCTATCGCTTCCATGATAGTCCATCGCAAAATATTAAGTGCACAAGTGTGATTTATGAAATGGCCATTACTCTTATCTCTGAGATTGAGAATTTGGAAAACGTTAGAGAATTGTACCTGTAATTTATTGCTAAATTATTAAAAATAGTAAGCTGAAGAAGTAAACCTTGAATAATAAATCAGAATTTAATTTACATAATTAAAAGTAATGGAATTTTTCCTTTTTAAACATAAATATATTCCATAGTTATATTACATATCAAAATTACAAAAAAGCAAAAATTAAACCTTTAATTTTAACATTTAGAAGAATAATTTTGGTCTTTTTCTTCGAATTAAATAATGTATGAAAAGATAAAACAAAAAATGCTAGTTAAAGAATGAAATTAATATTAAAATTATCATTGTGAATATCAATTTTACCGAAGTTTTATACACATTATAGATTTGATTTTAATGCTGATTTATTTCGCGAAATATTAATTTAATCTGTAAAAATTTATATAAAATTTGCTATTATTTAAAAATTATTATTATGCAAATGTATTATTATAGGATCTAAGAAAATAGGGAATAGGAATTCAAAAAGTTGGGTATTTATTACCTCATAATAATTTCCTCCTTGTTATCATATTTGTTCGTATTTGTTTTTGGATATAAGGATTTTTACTATATTATTAATATATTAGAATTAAACAATAAGCACCATATCAAAATTGAAATGGTTATTTTCTCTCACAATTAAGAAATAAATATGCAAAATAATAATTATTCTAAATTAATTATAGCAGTATCGAAATGATTAATAATAAATAACAAAAAAATTATTAATAATTTGAGGAAGAATTTATAGAATTTTTGACTGAGCAAATATTAACAAGAAAAACAAATAAAAGAAAAAATAAAATGAAGTATAGATTAATTTTAATACTAAAATTTAACATGATACTATCAATTCTATTGTAGCGAGTACATCAAAGTAAAATATGAGAAAGAAGTACTTAACATCTGAAATGAAACAATTTTTATTAATTTTGAATCAAAATGATGATAATGTTCATAGTTAAATTACCGTTGTAAATCCTGCATAACATGGAGTGAATACACCTAAGATGTGAAACATACATGCTGTTGAGCTTCGTGTCATAATCAATAATAAAATCTTTTGTACCTTTAACGGTACAAAATACCATATAGAAAAATATCTATTCAATGAATGATATTTTTTTTTACTGTTAATGCAATTAATTTCATGAATAAAAAGTTCAAACTTACAATTCATCAAATAATTCTTCACTGTTGTCTATAAGTATTTGACCACTATGGTTACATAAAAGCATAATCATCAACTGCTTGACAAATAAGATGAGACAAATTAAAATTTCTAAATGATCCTTAGTAATTATAATCGCATTTTTTAGCTGTAAAATAATTAAAAATAAATATATTTAATAAAATATACTCATTTAAATTGATTACATTTATTGATGTATTTATTTATTATAAATTCGCAGCATCTCTTATAATGTGTTTCACAAAATTAAAAAAAATTCAAGAAAGTTTTATGCAAGATTGCCTATATATAATGTCTTTTTAATTTCTATTCACACTATTGTTTTCTAAATTATGCATTATTTAAAAAAAATATATATATAAAACTTGTATTTCAAGAAATCATCTAATGATCAAGCATCAAATATATTTAAAAACTTTTATTGTTTTTGAAATTTGACGATAATTTTTCTTTTCTTAAATGAAACTATATTTTGTCAAGATTGTAATCTTCAATACTCAAATACGAATTCATTGTCCCAATTATGATCTATAAAAATCATTCAAAATCACATAATTGTTAAAATTTTATCGATAGTTGGAAAATATTCCTCATTGAAGTAAGTCATTAATATGATGAATAGTATGATTTATGTCGATGTATATATTTTATCGAAGTTATTCCATAGCATTTAAATTTTTCGTTAAAATTATATGAATGAAAAGGTTTTTAGAGATGAATCATCCATTATATGAAATAAGAGATGTCTCCCAAATTAATTGTGATATTTTTGAAAAAAAAGAAACAGAATAAATCATTATATCGATTTACAAAACTGTTAAAATATAGGATAATAAGAATAATTTTTACAAATTAATGATAATAAATGTCGAATAATGTAATGAATAATTTTGAATGATGTTCAAAAATAATTAGGATAATAAATTCATTTTGGAATAGACAACGATTCTCATTAAATAAAAACATATAATTTTATTTTAAAAAAACACAAAATGAAGGATTTGAGAACTAGAAAAACTTTCACTTAGCCAAATCGAAGAGTTATCAAAATTATCTACTTTCAAACAAGTACAAAATATTATTTTGTATAATATGTAATTCAAGAAATTAATTGTGTAACAAATTAAAATAAAACACTCGGTATATTGAGAATCCTGACATATGCGAATTCATTTATTATTATTGTGCAATAAAGAAAAGGTACTTACGCGATGTAGAATTATAGTCACTGAAATCACAGTTAGAAGAGTAGATATCATAAACTGTTTTCCTGAATTATTTATTATGACATTGATAAGTCTTTTATAGCCATATGAAATTTGCAAATAAAATATTAACATAAGTATCTGTTGAAATCAATTTATAATATAATCATATTCTAATTTACCAACTGGATAGCTTGGTTATGAATATCTATCACGCGATAAAGCTCTCTGAGTTTCGAGTCCATTTGTTTCGATGAGAGATTGACTATAGTTAAATATATAATAATCTTTTGTATTCGATGGCTAAAAATATGAGACATTCGTAAATAAATATCGCTTAAGAATTTTATAATATATTATTTAAATTTATTTTGTTCGTGTTCTACGGTTTGTCGAAAAAATTAATGCATTCTTTAAAATACAATAATTTTTTTAAAAGTTGTACTGAGTAATGAGTTTTTTTTGAAAAGTTAAATGAACTAATTTAATTTTTTATAATATATAATAAAAATTTTTGAAGATGTTTTTGAATTTCTCGAAATTGTGAAGAAAATAGTGAAGGACATTTTAAAAAATTTTTAAATATACGTTATTAAATCTTTATAAATAAGTAAAAATTTTGTAACTATATTTATGTATATACATGTTAAAAATATCGAAATCCCAAAAATCGATCAATAATTTTAATAGTGATAAGTCTTAAATGGTAATATGTGAACGATTTCAAGCAACTTTTTTCCTTCTGAAAATTTTCATTTTCATTTGTTAATGAATTATTACCGAAAAATTGTGGCCAATCACATTTAGTTAATATCTAATAAATAATAAAATTGATATAAAAATTTATGCAAAAAAAAATTGCTTAAAATCATTTAAGAGTTTCCAATCAAGATTTATTGAATCGATTTCTAGAATATATATATTAACATTTAATATATTAATATATTATTAATATATTATATATTAATATATTATAATATATAAATTTAATATATTAATATATATTATCTATAATACATCCTGTATATTAATATTATATGTAAGATATTATATTATAAGTAATATTATATATAATATTATATATTATATTATATATAATATTATAAGTAATATTATATGTAAGAAATAAGGAAAATATAACATTTCAAATAATATTAAATTTACGAATTATTATAATTATATATTATAATTATGCGATCTTGCTAATTATAATCTTATGAATGTTAATTCATATTGTAAGAAATGTTATAAATACAGTAATTATTAATATTTATTACATAATAAGTATTATGAGATGAATATGATAATTTTACTTACCTAATAATTTTAAACAACACACCTGTATGATAACTATAAAGTCCAAGTATCGATTCCGTACATGTTACAGATAATATTACAAATATCATAAGAAACATATAATTCAAGCATAGAATATCAACATATATGATTCTTTTATTAGAAAATATAGTAATATAATGAGCGATATGTGTACGAGATTCGTTCAAAGGCATTATAAAATCCAATATTATAGGATACAATAACAATATATTGCACAATGCAATAGTTGCATAAATCATCCCTAAATTTTGGAAAGATCATTGAATAATTGACATTTAAACTCGAATATTGATATAATATTTTCATTGAAAAATCTTTCTTGTTAAAAAAATTTTTATAAATCTTTATAATCTTTATAAAATAACGTATAAAAATATTATAAATATTATAATTATATTAAAAAGTATATAAAAAAAGATTTTATATATATAATAAAATAATAGATATACAATATTATTAATGAATATATACAAATATTTGTAAATATTTAAATGTTGCAAAGATAATGTAGATTAATATCGCCAAAGAAATTACACATTTCTTACAGAGAAAAATATCAATCATATGACAGGAATCGTTGAGGCATTTTTTTCGTATTCGTATTTCTATTGAATCTTGTACTATATTTTCCTCCATACGCATATGATGAAATAAATATTTTATCTATGCCAAATAAAATAAGAGATAAATATATTTTTTCATTAAAAAGTTTAAAATAATTTAATTTTTACTTACCATAGGGAAAAATATTATAAAACTTATATATCGTAACGAAATTATTATAAGCGGACAGGTTGTAGACAATATTAAAATACAATTTCGTAACGTAATTTCAGATCTTAAAAGTGACACAATCTAAAAATATATATCTATTTATTAATTAATGAATAATGCTTAAAAAATTTTTAATTTTTTTAATGATAATCTAATATTTTAATCATGCTCTTATCATTATCATCATTTGTATAATATTACAGTAAAACAAAAATAAAATCATAAGTAGAAGTAAGAAATGTAAATATGAAGATAAAAATTTGATAGATATTGACTTTATGTTCTTTTATATATATCTTTTATATATTATATGTATAGAAAATTTAATCAAATAGCATACATAAACAGATTGAACGAAAAAATATAATAAATAAATTTTCGTCATTTGAGACTTTCTTTTAAAAAAATTAGATTTGGAAATTTTTTAGGCAAATATTTCAAATTTAATTTTCCGAAATGAAATTGTTCTTTGATTAAATCAGATAGAATTTATAAAAGAAAATTATTTTACATATGTGAAAATATGTGAAAAATGTAAAATTACATTTTAATTTTTAATCCTTTTTTTTTTGTTAAATAGATATATATATATATGTTGATGGAAAAATTCTAAAATCTATTTACAATATTCACTTTTTTCACTTAAAAATTAAATTTTTATAAAATATATAGTAAAATAATAAAAATTATGTCGTGTACATATATTAACTTTAATTTAAAATATATTAACTTTTAAACAGTGTGCGAAATATACTTTTATACATTCGTATCGCATTAATATCCGTATATTAATCATAAAATTAAAATATTAATATATCAATATATTATTATTTCATGTATATAATACAATAAATATAATAGAATAAATATTATTAATTTACGGAAAAGAACATTAATATGTAATAAATAGACAATATCCTATTTAAACTATTTAAATAAAAATACAATAAATTATACAAAGAAAAATTATAATTTTCGTCACCTGAAATATTACATTGCCAAGAAACAATGTCAATAGCAATAATCTCTGAATCCACACATAAATTGAGTTATCATACGGCCATAATCCTACGATTTTCAACACAGTACGATAGCTATGATAGTGTTTGTCGAATACGTCCATTTTTCTAGTCAGATATCAACTCATATAGAACTTGAAGAATCATTCGACTATACCTCGGCTTAATATATTATTTATGCTATTATTTTTCTCTCTCACATTTTCATAGTGTTATTTTTTTACAATAATAATAGTATAATGTGTAACAATTGCAGTAAATTACAATCGATCGATTTTATGCATACATTCTGCAAGGAGATTTTTCATAATAGATATTGATTTCGAGAAAATTATAGTTTTTAAGTTTCTTGTTTATATTATTAATTTTTAATATCGTTTTTTATATTCTTTCATTTTTTTTTAATCTTTTCCCCTTCTGTTCCAAGTAAGAGAATGAAAATTTGTTATGATGAATAATATCTTCCAGTTACCTTACGAGAAAACTTCTTTCTTACTTATATCGTTACTTTATTCTATTTCTACTTTATTCTACGAATACTTCATATCGTTATTTCATTCAGTGAAAGTAACAAAAAGAAATTGGAAGAAACGAATAAAGAAGGATGTGTTTGAATTGAATAGTAATATATAAGTGATTTTATATGAAAAATATTAATGTATTATAATAATTACTAATTATTGTTTAAAGTAGATATTGATTTTTAGATACTGAACGCTGTATTCATATTATATAAATAATTATCATTTTAAACTATTTTGTAGTTATTAATACTTGAACGTATTATATTATTTTTAATTTGATTTTGAACGAAATTATACGCAAATCTAATTTGTGTAGAATAATGAAACATGAAGTATCTCCGAAATATTTTGAATATGAAATTCAATGCAATTTTATCAGGATTTTTATCATAAATATGATAGAAAACATGTATAAATTTATAGAATATTAGAAATGATTACAAAATGAATGTCATAAAATCAATTGAGAATATGAATTATAAGTAATAGTCCGTTATATAAAATAAAAATATTAAATAGAAACATCAAAAATTTTAAAAGAATTTATTTCTGATCACTAAATATTTAAAAAAATATTTAATTTTTTGAATTTTTTGAAAAAATTTTTGGAATTCTATAAACACTTTTTTTAACATATTTAACATATTATGTAAAAGAGTCATACTAGAGAAGTCATCATAGAGAAAAATTTTGATTTTTACATTCAAATTTGGAATTAATAATCTCGAAAACACTTATTGCGAAACAATAATAGCATCATTCTAACCAAAGAATGAAATTAATATTAAAATTATTGTTATTATGAATATTAATTTTAGCAAAGTTTCATACGCATATAGGTTTGGTTTTAATGCCGATTATTTCACGAATATCAATTAATTTAACTTGTGAAAATTTATGTAAAATTTGCCACTATTTAAAAATTACTATTATGCAAATGTATTATTATAGGAATCTAAGGAAATATGAGGGAATAGGAATTCAAAAATTTGGGTATTTATTTTATTCCTCATAATAATTTCTTATATAATATTATAATATTACATAATATTTCCTTCTCTTTGTTATCATATTTATCCATACTTGTCTTTGAATATAAAGACTTCTACTATATTATTGATTCGAATTAATTAAATGTTATACAAGAAAATTGATGCAATTAATTTAATATAAATTAATTAAATTAAAATTTAATATAAATGCTATCTGATTTATATATATAAATGATATAATATAAATGATATAAATGTTCAAGCACTATATAAAAAATAAAATGGTTATTTTCTTCTAAAATTAAGAAATAAATATACGAAATAATAATTATTTTAAATTAATTATAATGATAACGAAATGATCAATTATAAATAACATTAAAATATTAACAATTCAAGAAATTGTATATAGAATATTTAATTGAGAAAATATTAATAAGAAGAACCAACAAAATAAAGAACAAATATCAAAATGAAATACAGAATAATAATAACTGTTTATTTAAATATTAATACGATAATTATATATAAAATTTAATATGATATTATCAATTCTGTTGTATCGAGTATATCAAAGTAAAATATGAAAACGAAGTGCTCAACATCTGAAATGAAACAATTTTTATTAGTTTGAATTAAAATGATGATGTCTTTATTTAAATAAATTACCGTTGTAAATCCTGCATAGCATAGAATGAATACACTAAAGATGTGAAATATACATGCCGTTGAGCTTCGTATCATAATAAATAATAAAATCTTTTGTATCTTTAACGGTACAAAATACCATACTGAAATATATCTGTCCAATGAATAAAGATTTTTTTTTTATTGTTATTATAATTAATTTAATGAATAAAAATTCGAACTTACAATTCATGAAAAAATTCTTCACTGTAGTTTATAAGTATCTGGCCACTGTGGTTACATAAAAACATAATCACCAAATGATTGGCAAAAATTATAAGAGAGATTAAAATTTCTAATTGATCCTTCTTAATTGTAATCGCATTTACTACCTGTAAAACATTAAAAAAAAAGTATTCAATACGATATATTCACTTTTAAATTGATTACATTTATTTATTATTACTATTTATTCAATATATATATTCAAAATTCAAAACGTCTCATTTAGTATGTTTCATAAATTCAAAAAATTTTATAAAATCTTATATAAGATTGCCTTTGCATATACAGGGTGTCTCATTTTAATCTGTATTTGCACAATTATCTTCTGAATTATTAAAAAAAAATGTTATATATAAAATTTGTATTTCAAAAAGTCTTCTAATGATAATTTTTGTTTTTTTAAATGAACTTACATATATTTATCGAGAATTTTAACCTATTCCATTATTATATGAATTATGCTAGTCATTGAAATTCACTTAAAATCACATATAATTATTTAAATTTTGCTTTGATTATATCAGAAAATTTTTGATGGAAATAAATTATTTATATGAAGAGTAGTACAGTCATTGTCATAAATACTTTATTAAAGTTATTAGTTTATAAAATTTGAATTTTGATTTGAATTTTTTTCAGAATTGTATAAATGAAAAAGTTTTTAGAAAAGAATCAGCTATTATATGAAAAATCGTATAAGAGATATCTTCCAAATTAGTTGTAATACTTTTGAAAGAATGGAATATCATTTAGGAACATAATAAATTATTGTATCGATGTGCAAGGATGTTTTTTAAAATATACGATAAAAGAATTAATTTCTACTAATTAATAATAATGAATGTCGAATAATAACGAATAATCTTGAATGATTTCCAAAAATCATAATTAGAAAAATAAATTTGGAATAGACTAGGATTTTTATATAAAAATATAATTTATAATAAAATTATAATTTTATTTAAAAAAAAATACAAAATAAAAAGTTTGAAAACTAGAAAAGACTATCACTTAGACAAATCGAAGAACAATCAAAAATATCTATTTTCAAATAACAAGTTTCGTAATTCAAAAGATTAATTGTGTGAACAAATTGAAATAAAACCGGTATAAGTGAAAATTCTGACGCGAATGTGCGAATTCATTTATTATTATCATGTAATAAAAAAAAGATACTTACTCGATGCAGATTTATAGCCATTGAAATTACAACTAGAAGAGCGGACATCATAAACTGTTGTCCTGAATTATTTATTATAACATTGATAAGTCTTCCATTACCACATGAAATTCGCGAACGAAATATTATAATATATAAACATAAGTATATACAAAATTAATTTACATTAATATCATATTATATTTTACCAACTCGATAGCTTGATTATGAATATCCACTACGCGATAAAGCTCTACGAGTTTCGAATCAATTTGCTTCGGTGAGAGATTAAATATAGCTAAATACATAGTAATCTTTCGTATTCGATGGCTAAAAACATGATATTTGTAAATAAACATTGCTTAATAAAAAACTTTATAATTTTATTGTTTAAAATTGTTTTGTATCTATTTGTATAGTAAATAAAAAAAGTATGATAGATTTTTTAAAACATTATAACTTTTTTAAAAATTGTATCTAATAATTTAAGTTACTTTTTCTTTTTTTTGGAAAAATTTAGCATAATATATAAAAAATTTTTTATAGAAACGACAATTTATTCGCAAAGAACATAATGAAAGATATTTAAAAAAATTTTTTTTTACTATATATTAGATGTTTAAAAAAATTTTAAAAATGTATTATGTAGATTTGTTAGTATTTATGTAATGTATATGTATTTATATATATGTACATATTTAAAATTTCAAAATTCCTAAAATCGATCGTTAAAATTTTAATAATGACAAGGCTTAAAATGATAATATTTGAAAGATTTCAAGCAATTTTTTCTATCTGAAAATTTTCATTTTGGTAATGAATTATTATTAAAAAATTGCGGCAATGACAGAGCGTCATTTCGTTAATATCTAACGAATAATAAAATCGAAATGAAAATTATACCAAAAAGTTGCTCGAAATTATCTCACAATTATAAATCAAGACTTATCGAATTGATCTCTTGAACATATTTGTTTGTATATTAACACTTAATGCATATTACTTAATGTATATTAGGACAATGTATATATTAATACTCTATATAAGGAATAAGAAAAATATAATATTTTAAATAATTTACAAAGATTATACGATTTTGAAATCAATTGTAATCAAATGAATGTTAATTCATATTGTAAAAAATGTTATAAATACAGTAATTGTTAATATTTGTTACATAATAAGTATTATGAGAGAGGGATATGATAAATTACTTACCTAATAATTTTAAACAATATGCCTATATGATAACTATAAACTCCGATTATTGATTCCGTACATATTATAGATAATAATCCAAATGTAACAACAAATAAAAAATCCAAATATAAAATATAAAAATATATAGTTCGATTGACAGAAAATAATGTAGCGTAACGAAGGATATGTATGTGAGATTCGTTTAAAGGCATTATGAAATGCATTATTAAAAGATACAATAAAAATATACTAAATAATGTAACAGTTAAAAAAATCACACCTAAAAATTGGAAAAACAATGAATTATATTTAAACTAGAATATTAATATAATAATATTATCATTGAAAAAAGATTTTTGTTGTAAAAATGAAAAATTTTGTTAAAAGTAACAGGTAAGATAACAAGTAAAGATTACAAATATTATAGTTCTTAATATTATATATATATATATATATATATAGTTCAAAGATTATATATATAATAAAAAATTTATATTAAAATTAATAAATTTAATAATATACAATTATTTTGAAATATTTAATTTATTTAATCGCAATTTTTTTGCGATGACAAATATTATAAAAAAATATATATTAATTATATATTATAAATTTACATATTTCTTACGGAAAAGTAAATCGATCCTATGACAAGAATCATCGATGTATTTCGTTCGTATCCAAGTTTCTATTGAATCTTGTATTATACTTTCCTCCATATGCATATGATGAAATAAATATTTTATCTATGCCAAAAAAAAAAATGACATATAAAAATATTTTTCTATGTTAAAAAGTTTAGAATAATTTTAATTTTTACTCACCATAGGAAAAAATACTATAAAGCTTATATATCGTAGTAAAATAATTATAAGTGGACAAGTTGTAGACAATGTTAAAATACAGTTTCGTAATGTAATTTCAGATCTTAGAAGTGACATAATCTAAAAATTTTTTAATTATAATACGCTTAAAATATTAGATTTTATGATGATTATATATTTATAGTATTTCAATCGCGTTTTTAAATATATTATCATTATTATCATTTAATCGACGTTCTAAAATATGTATATATAATATGCAGTTTATTATAAAACAAAAATATAGACAAAAATAGAAGCAAAATATAGATGTAAAGATAAAAATGTAGATATTGGTTTTAGTATTTTTTTTTATACATGTATACAAAATCTAGTTGAATAGCATATATAAGAGAATAAAAAATAAAAATTAGAATAAAATTTTTTCATTACGTTTTTTGAAGAGTAATTGCTTAATCTTCAATTAGATGCAAAAAAATTATAAAAGAAAATTCTTCTATATCTGAAAATATATAACATTAAAGAATTTTAAATCTTTTTCTTTTTAAATAATATGTATATATACATATATTGATAAAAAATAATTCTACGACGACTTTTAAAATTCACTTCTTTCGAAAAGTAATTTTTAAACGAAATAAAATTATGCCGAATATATATATTAACTGGATATTGTATACTTCAAAATGTAATAACTTTTGAATATTATACAAATATGTTTTCATGCATTCGTATCTATTCGTATCGCTAATACATATATATCACTCATAATCTTAAAAATCATAATATATTATTATTTCAAAAATAACTATATTATTAATTTATGGAATAGAATATTAATATGCTAATAATAAATAGATATAACACAATATCCTATAAACTATTTCAGTAAAAGTACAATGAATTACATAAAGAAAAATTATAATTTTCGTCACCTGAAATATTACATTGCCAAGAAAAAATATCATTAACAATAATCTTTGAATCCACACATAAATTGAATTATTATACGGCCATAATCCTATGATTTTCAATACAGTACGATAGTTATGATAGTGTTTATCGAATACGTCCATATTTCTAGTCAGATATCGACTGTCATATAGAACTCAAAGAATCATTTGACTATACCTCGGTTTAATATATTATTCATAAGTATTTTTTTCTCTTGTATTTTCATAGTGTTATTTTTTTATAATAATAATAGTATAATATACAGCAAATTGCAGTAAATTACAATCGATCGATATGCATACATTCTTCAAGGAGATTTTCCATATATAATAGATATTGTTTTCGAGAAAATTATAGTTCTCAAGTTTCTTGTTTGTATTAATTATTAATCTTTATTGTCGTTTTTTTTATTTAGTCTTTTCATTATTTTTTCCTTTTCTATTCCAAATGTTGAGAGCATGAATAGTCTTTCGGTTACTCTACAAGAGACTACTACTTCTTCCTTACTTTATTCAATTACAAATACTTCATATCGTTATTTTATTTAATTGGAAAAAAAAAAAAAAAAAATTGGAAGAGATCGATAAAAAAGGAAATATTTTGCCCTAATGGTAATAATGTAAGAAAAAGATTTGCATAATATCTTAAAATATTATATTAAAATACTATATCGTATTAATTATTGTCTAAAGTAATTTTTAGATATTGAATGCCGTATTAATATTATTTAAATAATTATCATTTCAAGTTATTTTGTGGAATATATGTAGAATGCATTTAATCATTTAATTATTTGAAGAAGGAATTTTATTATTTTTAATTTGATTTTGAACGAAATTATGCACTATTGTAATTTATGTGAAATAAATAAATATAAAGTATATATGAAATATTTTAATATTTTAAATAAAATTTAATATAATTTTATTAGGAATATATGATAGAAAACATATATAAATTTATAATTTTTTATTATTAAAATTGAGGATTTATCATAAAATATATATCCTAAAATCAATTGAGAAATCATATGAATGATAAACAATGGTTATCATTCATATAATATATAAATATAATTATTAATTATAAATTTATAATAAGAAACAAATAAATTTGTTGGATAATATGAAAAAAGTTTATAAAATTTTTAAAATAGCTTTATAATAGCTAATTAAACTCTAAGCGGAAAAATAATATACAACATAAATTAATTGCATCCAGTTGGAAGAAATATAACTATTTATTGTTAACTGTTATTGTTTTTTAGTATTTTTAATTAATTGTTTAATATTAAAAAATCAAAAGAAATTTTTTACAATATTTTTTTAATATTATAAACTTCAAATGTAAAATATCGAGCATATATAAAATAGAAATATTAAGAACAAAATTTTTTAAGAATTCATTTTTAATTATTAAATATCTGAAAAAATTGTTTTTCTCAATTTTTTGAAAAAAACTTTTTGATATCCTATAAAAACTCTCCAATATATTACATGAAAATGAATCGCATAAAGAATAATTTTGAGTTTTGAATTTGGAATTGATAATCTCGGAAACATCTATTGAAACAACATACATTATTATTAAATTCTAGAGAATTTTAATTTAACACAATATTTTGATATTTTAATAACATGCAATATATGTATTATTTAATGAAAATTGATTTAATGAAATTAAATTATTATATTTAAAATTATTTAATGAAAATTGATTACATATCGAATTATAGCAAATTCCAAAATAATAGCATTAGAATATTGTATTTAAAAATACACAGATAAATTGAACAAACATTTTATTTAAAGCCATAGATAAATTATTCTATGACGTTCAATCTGCTTTCTTACCGATATCCATAAGAGCAAATAAAAATTCTCATAAATTTCGAGTTAGTAAAGATGAATGTATTTTTCTTTATTATAAGTATTATATTATTATAAGTATATTATTATAAGTAGTAACTTGATTAACAGAATAATTTTATTCAAAGAATAAAAATACTGTCAACATGCAATAGCAATGTAAAACAGATAAATGTAATACTTATACGAATTAATGGACATAAAATGTGGTATTAACCCGATCAAATATCAATATTAAATTTTTATTATTATTTCTATTAAAGTTTAAACTAAATGGCTTTGAATATTGTACAAATGGGATATCTGAATTGATATTTTTATGATCTCGAAGAACCATTTATTGTGATAGGACTGTATGATGGTTTATATTGAATGAACGAATGGTGATTTAATTGCTTCTTAATTGCTCACGGCTAATTGACTGCTGATTATAATAATTCTAATTATGTACTTCGATGTGTATCGTTCTATCTGATCTAAATTCTATTTTTTTTTTTTTTAATTGATCTGATTTAGAAGGTTGCCACGGATCTGGATTTGTCTTCAATCATTATTTTTCATGAAAACACAAACTAAGAGGGGAGAAAGGGTTAGAATAACCAATAGTCGCGATTGGAGGGCGGTTTCGAAGGATAGGCATTCATGAAGTGGTGACGTGAGAATCAAGACCATCGCTATCACTTCCATGATAGTCTGTCGCAAAGCACCAAGCGCGCAACTTGAGAAATGGCCATTGCTCTTATATCTCTGTTTAGATTGGAAACCTAAAAACTGTACCTACTTACAAATTATTGTTAGATTATTGAAAATAAGTAAGAAATAAATAAGATGAAAAAGTAATCCTAAATAGATTAAAACTTAATTTACATAATAAAATTACTCCTTTTTAAAAAATCATAAATCTATTCCTAATTATAGTTATATTATGATATTTAGATACTTATAAAAATTAAAAATTAAAATTTATTTATAATTTTTCAAAATTAAAAAAATAATTTATTATTTATTGCTTCTTTAAGATTTATAACCAGTTTATTCGAAGGAGTTTCTTGCATGGAAATCTTTTTTTCATTATTATTGATCCCCTATTATCGACCTTTATTAAACTTAAACAAAGGATAATGTTATTTGAGAAGACTGCCGTTTTTAAAGAGAGTTAAGTCGATAATTATATGTTTTTCACATACCTGGCTGAAACGGAAATCGATCGCAAGAATTATATATTCAAAATATGACTGATTCAATGACAATCAGCATTATTCAAGTTAAAAAAAATCTATAATAAATATATTCTGTTTAATTCTTGGTTATTATTATTTTGATATCTTTATGCAATACTAATTCAATTCAATTGCGATATTATTGAGTATTATCATGCCCTCTTCCAAATGAACTTGGAAGAAATTTCTGAAGGTCTTCATTAAAAATTTAATACTCTTGTTACAAATATTCTAACCGCTGGATTATCTATTGTGACTAACGTGATCTGTAAGTGATCTATCTCTCCTATAGACATGCATACCACATTTATAATATTTTTATTTATAAATAAGAAAATACAGCACCGATTACAAGCACTAGCATACATACATTTCAAAAAAGCATTCAATATATATACACTTAACTCTATATATACACTTAACGAATTTCCATCCGCACTATTATTAGTTGCATGAATAATAATAAATGAATAATAATAATATTCAATATAAAATCATGTGATAAATAGTAATGTGAAAAAAATGCATTGTTTATAGTTTTTTTAGTGGATTTAAAATTGTGTATTATAATAATATGATTAAAATATAGATATTGAATTTCGAATATTGTTTTTTTTTGTTTAGTAATCTTATATCGGAACAAAAAATATTGAATTCGGACCAGAATAGAAAGAAGATTTTCCAATTGATGCTATCATCTGTATAGTTCAAATTAAATCAAATATCATTCGTACTTTTTTGTACATTTGAGAATAAGCAAATTTGGATGTAGAAATACATATTCAATCTTCTTCTGAAATCATATAGAAGTGTATTTTAATTTACATTATTTTAATTTGCGCGTTTTTATGCATTTCGATATGCATAAAACGTTACGTATCATACAATATTCAGCTATGGATTTAAACAAAATGTTTGTACAATGATTTACTTATGGATTTAAATAAAAGAGTGTCAATATTCTGGAATTTATTAAAATTTATTCGATTTATTTTATTAAATTAAATAATCTTAATAAAATCTAATCTTATTAAAATCTAATCTTATTAATAATCTTAATAAAATCTAATCTTATTAAACAAAAAGTTACATAATACATAGATTGTAAGATTATAAGGATTCAGAAATAATTTTTCATGTATAAAGAAATATCCAATTGTTACTCTTTCATCGGCTTTACAAACTTAAAATGCTTTTAATTCATTACTTAATCTTACTTAAATCTTGTTGGACACATATACATATACTTTTTTGATATCTAGAATTTTGTTTTGATATCTAGCATCCACTTTTCAAAAGTGTCTCATATTTTTATGAAAAATAAAAATCTAACATATATCTCTTCAAAAATCAACCTAATTAATTTTATTTATAAATTTTTTGATTTCAATTCAATTTCAACGATACGAATAATATTCAATTTAAAGAAAAAAATAATTTAATATTATAAGTACGCAAAAAAAATGATATAATATAAATCATGAAATTAATTTGGAAAAAATTATGATATAAATAATATACAAAATTTTTGCTTTTTTTGAGAAAAATGACTAAATTTATGATATAAGAAATAAATAAAAAAAAATTGAAGCTCACTCAAGATCATGTATAATTGTTTAAATTTTGCTTTATTTATGACCAGAAGATTTTTGATTGAAATAAATTATTAATATAAAGAATAATACATTTATCAACATAAAATATTTTATTAAAGTTATTATTCCATAGAATTTGAATTTTTTTCAGAGTTACATAAATGGAAGAATTTTTAGAGAAAAGTCAACTATTATATGAAGAATCGCATAAGAAATGTCTTTTAAATTAATTGTGATAGTTCTGAGTGAAAAGAACTATAATTTAAGAACAGAATAAATTATCTGCATCGATGTGCAAGGATCTTTCTTAAAATATAGGATAAAAAAATTAATTTTTAATAATTAATAATAGGAAATGTCAAATAATGAATAGTCTTGAATGATTTCTAAAAATCATAATTAGGAAAATAAATTTGGAATAGATTACAATTTTCATTAA